GTAAAGATGTGAGTTGATGACCCTTTTAGAAAACATATTAAATTTAAAAATAAACTCCTGACTTTATATTAATGATATTAACCCATTTTCTATCAGATGAGTTGCAAATGTCTTTCCAAGAATGCACTGACCTTTCATTTTTGCTTTTGGTATTCTCTGGAATAAAATTTTATTGTTTATGAAGCAAATCTTTTTTATGCCCACAATGGATGGGAATGCCCCTACTATTCACTATAATAGTTAAGAGGCTTCCTATCCTAGTTTCTCCACTTACTATCTGTATAAAGTAAAAGCTTCTTTAAAATCTGGACAATAACTCACCTTCTAGTATTGTTGAAATGTTTAATATAAATACTCAATAAATGGTAGAAACAATTAAAATTATTCATAAATAAGATTTTACCATTGGTGAAAGATTTTCCTTATTTTTAAGAATACATTTAGTACTTCTTAAAATCATTTTCAAAATTAGAAATGGCTTTTGAATGATATTGTATATCTACTTAAGCAAAAGGCAATGTGTATATATATAAATAATTATGACTGATGGCTTCCCAGGTGGTGCTAGTGGTAAAGAACCCGCCTGCCAATTCAGGAGATGTAAGAGACATGGATTCGATGCCATGGTCAGGAAGATCCTCTGGAGTAGAAAATGGCAACCCACTCCAGAATTCTTGCCTGGAGAATCCCATGGATAGAGAAGCCTGGGGGGGTTACAGGCCATAGGGTTGTAAAAAGTCAGACATGACTGAAATGACTGAGCAAGCACGCACATCCAATAGTTATTGTACCACAAAAACCAACATAACATCATAAAGCAATTTTGCTCCAATTAAAATAAATAAGTTATTGATTATAGAAAATTATTTTTAAAGTAAATTGCTGAATTTGTTTTAAAAATAATGTATTTTAAATGTCTGAGTCTTTATTTAAATAAAATTGTCTACATAATTCTTTTCTTCATCCTTTGTTGATTTCAGTTTAGAATGATACTAGACCCATCAAATTAATTGGGCAGCTCACTTTCATTTTTCTTGGCCTGGAATAAATTACGCTAGGATCAGAAATAGCTATTCTTTAAAATATTGAAAGCCCACATCCACAAACCTATGTAGCACAGAATGTTTTGAGCAGTGATATTTATATATATACAATATTTCCCCCAAATTCTTTTATATAAATAGTTTGTTTAACTAGTAAGTATATTCTAGTGTCAATTATGGCACTTTAAACATTTCTACAAAAAACATCTATTCCGTTGAGATATATTAGTTTATATATATATATATAAAACATTCTTTTAAATTAAAACAACCAACTATTGTTAACTTACTTGCTTTTTCATACTATTTTTCATTTCTCTTTCTCTTTATAATTGGATTTATTTATTTAAGTCTTTTCAATATACTTGTTTTCTAGAGTTAGTAATTCTAATGTTTTCCTGATTTCTAGTTTTAATATGTGCATTATAAATAGCTTATTTTTAAATTGTTTTCCCTAGAGTCTTTTAAAAATTAAAATACTGTCTTCATAAATACATATTTATGAATATTTTCTTTGTTAAATAAGAAAATAATTGAAGTCTCTTTATCTTTACATTATGTGATATTTTATATGATATCTGTCTTTGATCTATCTGGAATTTGTTTTGATATGATGTGTGAATTAGGATCTAACTTTTTATCCCACTAAGAGTACTTGAAGATTTCAATGCTATTTATTTTATCAATCTTTTCTTTCTTCACTGACTCCAAAGATCACATTTATGACAAAATAATGACATTCATAGTTACATAGCTTTTGTGTCTATGAGCCTTTTTATTCTATTCAGTTGATATATCTGATACCTATACCTCATTTACAATATTGTGATCTAATGCTTAATATCAATATCTGGAATAAGCATTGCTATCCTTACCCATTTCCCTTTTTCTTATCTTAACCTTTATTTTAACTTCACCATATTGGCCAATGCATTAGTATTTTCTACAGTCTTGAATAATCTCTTGATTTCCATATTACATATTCCCTTGGTTTTACCTCTGTCCATCCAACTATTCCTTTTGAGTCAACTGCAAATGTATTTCTCCCATATCTAACATTTAAATGCATTTTCCATAGAGACATACTTATTTCCATGAAATAAGTGGAATTTATTGGGGTTTTTTTGTGATTACAGGAGAAATAAAAAGTTACCCAAATTTTAACACCTTAGAAATACCTAATTCAGAGTTCTACTTTTGGCTATTAAGAGTCTACTTGTATCAAATCAATATTCTCACAGTGAATGAAAAAGCTTTATAGATAAAAATTTAAAACTGTTCATAAGCATTAGAGAATGACCAAGATGTTCAGAAACTGAGAGACCAGGATCCCTAAGGGAAAAAAAATTATGCATTGAGCTTAGTCTAACATTTGGTGTCACTATTTCCCTTGAAGTGTTTGTTGTTTATAAACAATAGCTAAGAGTGAGAAGTCAAGCAGAAAGCAGCAAATAAAACGCTGAGAAGCCTAGCAGAATGTCAACACTCATGGTGTGAGGAGGACAAAGTTCAGTTCAGATTCTGCTAAGGATGAAACTTCTGGAAGTTATAGTTGGGGTTCCTGAAACGTTACATCCTAGGAATAAGCATAAGAGGAAATTGATCATGCCTCACAAAAGATTGAAATCCAGTTTTTCAATAGCTCAGTCCATACTAGATTGAGGTGATCCATAGCAGGCTGACAGCCAGAAACAAATGTAAATCTGAAAAAAGACAATGTTATGTAACTTCAAAGAAACTCATTTAAGCTTCAATGTGTGTGTACACACTGGCATTAAACACAAAACAAATTTCCTATAAGGTAGGACACAGTATTAAATAACTGAAAGCAAGAGAAAGTAGGCAGTATAAACAGAACCATAGATGATAAATACTTTGAAGTTATTAGACTAGCACTGAAAATAACTTTGATTAACATATTTTAAATAAATGATAAAGTAGATACTTTTTGTAGAACTGAAATCCATTAAAAGAACAAAATGGATAATCTAGAATGCACAAATAAAATAATTAAAATAAGAAATCAATAGATTTATTTAACAGTATATTAAAGATATGTGAAGATAACATTAGTAAACTGGGGGAAAGGTTAACAGAAAATATCTGGGCCGAAACATGGAGAGGACAAACAAGATTGTAAATTCAGAAAAGAGTCTCAAAGATGGGTGGAAATGATATTTTTAAAAACCTAAAACATTTGTATTTAAAGTCTCCAGATAGAGGAAAGAGATAATGGCTAAGAATTTTAGAAATTGAAAATCAGAGTCGTCACTGATAGACTCAAGAATTGTGACAAACCCCAAAATTGTGTGATCACTCACCTAGAGCCAGATATTTTGGAGTGTGAAGTCAAGTGGGCCTTAGGAAGCATCACTAAGAATAAAGCTAGTGGAGGTGATGGAATTCCAGCTATCTCAAATCCTAAAAGATGATGCTGAGAAAGTGCTGCACTCAATATACCAGCAAATTTGAAAAACTCAGCAGTGGCCGTGGACTGGAAAAGGTCAGTTTTCTTTCCAATCCCAATGAAGGGCAATGCCAAAGAATATTATAACGACTACACAATTGCACTCATTTCACATGCTAGAAAGTAATGCTCAAATTCCCGAGCAAGCTAGGCTTAAACAGCACATGAACCTAGAACTTCCAGATGTTCAAGCTGAATTTAGAAAAGATAGAGGAAAGTGAAAGAAAGAAAGTAAAGTTGCTCAATTGTGTCCGACTCTTTGCGACCCCAAAAACTGTAACTTACCATAGACTGTAGCCTACAGGCTTCTCCATGCGTGGGATTTTCCAGGCAAGAGTACTGGAGTGGGTTGCCATTTCCTTTTCCAGGGATCTTAAAGAAAGAGGAACCAGATATCAAATCGCCAACAGCCACTGGATCACAGAAAAAGCAAGAGAGTTCCAGAAAACCATCTATTTCTGTTTCACCGACTATGCTAAAGCCTTTGACTATGTGGATTACAGCAAACTGTGGACAAAGAGATGGAAATACCAGATCCCCTTATCTGCCTCCTGTGAAACTTGTATGCAGGTAAAGAAGCAACAGTTAGAACTGGACATAGAAGAATGAACTGGTTTAAATTGGGAAAGGAGTATCAAGGCTATGTATTGTCACTCTGGTTATTTAACTTATATGCAGAGTGTTGTTCAGTCATTCAGTGGTGCCCAACTCTTTGTGATCCTATGGACTGCAGCATGCCAGGCTTCCCTGTCCTTTATCATCTCCTGGAGCAGAAGAGTACATCATATGAAATGCCAGGCTGGATTAAGCACCAGTTGGAATCAAGATTGCCGGGAGAAGTATCAATAACCTCATATACGCAGATCACACCACCCTTGTGGCAGAAAGCAAAGAGGAACTAAAGAGTCGCTTGATGAAAGTGAAAGAAGAGAGTGGAAAAGCTGGCCTAAAACTTAACATTCAAAAAGCTAAAATCATGGCAGCCAGTTCCATCACTTAATGGCAAATAGATGGGGAAACAATGGAAACAGTGAGACTTTATTTTCTTGGGCTCCAAAATCACTGCAGATGGTGACTGCAGCCATGAAATTAAAAGATGCTTGCTCCTTGGATGAAAAGCTATGACCAACCTAGACAACATATTAAAAAGCAGAGACATTTCTTGGCTGACAAATGTCCATATAGTCAAAGTTATGGTTTTTCCAGTAGTCATGTATGGATGTGAGAGTTGGACCAGAAAGAAGGCTGAGCGCCAAAGAATTGATGCTTTTGAACTGTGGTGTTGGAGAAGTCTTTTGAGAGCCCCTTGGGCTGCAAGAAGATCAAACCAGTCATTCCTAAAGGAAATCAGTCCTGAATATTCACTGGAGGTGACTCCAATAGTCTGGCCACATGATGCAAAGAGCTGACTCATTGTAAAATAGTGATGCTGGGAAAGGTTGAAAGCAGGAGAAGGGGATGACAGAGGACAAGATGGTTGCATGACATCATCAACTCAATGGCCATGAGTGGCCGCCGCCCGAGCGCCGCCGTGCGAGCAGGCGAGCGGCCGCGGCCGCGGAGGAGGCGCCGCCCCAGGGGGAGGAGGTGGCCGCTCGCCGCAGACCGCCCGCGGCAGAGGCCGCCCCGGTCGCGCCGCGGCGGGAGCGGCCGGCGGAGGCTGCGCTGCTGAGGGGGAGGGTCGGGGGAGGGGACGTCACCCCTGCCCGCCTCCCGCTGACCCCCGCCCGCAGGCTCCCGAGCATCATTCGGCGCCCAGCATCCCGCTAGCCCGGATCCTCCCGCGGGCGCCCACCGGGCTTAACTCAGGCTCAGACATCTCCACTGCCCAGGGATCACTGAGTGTGTGGAAGGCCGGCTGTCCCGGCGCCCTGCTTCGGCATGGGTCCTGCCGTTGAGGCAGCTTCTCAGCCTGTGCTCGTCTGAGGGTGCGCCCGTCATGGGGGCAGCCCTCTCCCAGGGGGCCCTCATCGCCATCATCTGCAACGGCCTCGTCGGGTTCTTGCTGCTACTTCTCTGGGTCATCCTCTGCTGGGCCTGCCACTCGCGCTCTGCCAACATCGACTCCCTCTCCGAATCCAGTCCCAACTCCAGCCCTGGCCCCTGTCCTGAGAAGGCACCCCCGCCCCAGAAGCCCAGCCATGAAGGCAGCTACCTGCTGCAGCCCTGACGGCCCTTGGCCTAGCCCGGAGTCTGGGACTTAAGTCCACCCCACCTGGCACCTGGAATCGGATCCCAGGGTCCAGCCGGCCTGGGGTCCAGAACTCAGAGTCCAGCCTGTGTGGAACTGGACCTAGCCACCCAGTGTCTGGTCGGCCTGGCTCCAAGAGGGGCCCTGCTGGCCCTAGGTAGACAGGCCTGGGGCAGGGGTTCATGAGTTGGTGCTAGGGCCAGGGCCATCTGGACTCTCCTCCATCCCAGCGGTCGGGGGTGGGGTCCACCCTCCCCCTAGGCCAAGCGCCTCTCGGCCCTCAAGGTTGGGGAAGCAAACTAGAATCCATGGCAATAATGGGAGGGTGTCCAGGCTGGGCCCCTCCTCTGGTCCTCCTACTGTTTGCTGGATAATAAATGGATCTAAGGCTCTAAAAAAAAAAAAAAAAAAAAAATGGCCATGAGTTTGAGCAACCTCAGAAGATAGTGAAGGACAGGGAAACCTGGTGTCTGCAGTCTATGGGGTTGCAAAGAATTGAAACTGACTGAGCAACTGAACAACAACAATACTGGTAAAATTGCCTAATGATATATGTGTAAGTTTATTTATTGAAGTATTGTTTTTAATAGCTAAATTATGAATGGTTTCTTAGTTCAGATTGTTATAAGCGGAATGCCATATATCGAATGTTTAAAACAGCAAACATGTGTTTCTCACTGTTCTGGAGGCTGAGAGGTTTGAAGGTGCCTGCATGGTCAGGTTCTGATGACGGTGCTCTTCCTGGTTTTCTTATTTGGCAGAGAGAGCTATAGAATTCAGGTCTCTGCATCCTTTTATAAGGGCACCAGTCCCATTTTGGGGGCTCTACCTCCACTTCCATGACTTCACCCAAATTTAAATACCTCCCAAAGACTCTACTTCCAAATACCATCACACTGGTGATTAAGGTTTCAACCTATGAATTGGTATCAGGGTCTTTTCCAATGAGTCAGCTCTTCCCAACAGGTGGCCAAAGTTTTGGAGCTTTAGCCTCAGCATAATTCCCATCCATGTTGATTTTGGAGCCCAAGAACATGAAGTATACTTGCAGGTATTACTTAGTGGAACTACCTGGTAAAAGATTGTGTGCTTTTGTGATTTTAATAGATACTGCAAAATCAGTCTCTACATGGTTTATGTAATGTATGCTCCCATTGATTGTGTGTGAAGATGTCTTTTATTCCATACCCACTCTGATAGTGTGAGTTTTAAAATATTTTTTCATTTCTTAAAATAATAGGTGATATATTAATTTTTATTTAGATATGTGGTGTTGGCAAAGACTCTTGAGAATCCCCTGGACTGCAAGGAGATCCAACCAGTCCATCCTAAAGGAGATCAGTCCTGGGTGTTCATTGGAAGGACTGATGCTGAAGCTGAAACTCCAATACTTTGGCCACCTCATGCGAAGAGTTGACTCACTGGAAAAGACCCTGATGCTGGGAGGGACTGGGGGCAGGAGGAGAAGGGGACGACAGAGGATGAGTTGGCTGGATGGCATCACCGACTCGATGGGCATGAGTTTGAGTAAACTCCTGGAGTTGGTGATAGACAGGGAGGCCTGGCATACTGCGATTCATGGGGTCGCAAAGAGTCGGACACGACTGAGTGACTGAACTGAACTGAACTGAACTGATAATCAAGATAAAGGAACTTTTAAAAATATTTAAACACTTAATATTTTTCATTTTCTGAGAACTGTCCTCTATCTTTTTTTTAATTGCTGATGTTTTCCTTATTGATTTGAAATGCCTCTACAAAGATGAAAGAAATTAACCATTTGTCAATATGTTGAATTTTTTTCAAAATTTTTCTTTTAACTTTATGTTTTTATGTGGATATTTTAATTTTCACACAGTCAAATTTATTAATCTTTATCTCATGGTTTTTGAGCTTTATGTATTTAAAATTTTAGTAGCTCAGTCATGTCCGACTCTTCACGACCCCATGGACTGTAGCCCTCCAGGCTCCTCTGTCCATGGAATTTTCCAGGCAAGAATACTGGAGTGGGGTTCCATTTCCTTCTCCAGGGGATCTTCCTGACTTAGGGATGGAACCCACTTCTCCTGCATTGCAGGCATATTCTTTACTGTCTGAGCCACCAAGGCTCTTTTATGTATTTAAAGCATTTAATTCTAAGATCATTGGAGGAAAATATTCCCATACTTAATTTAGAACTTTTGGGGATTTAATATTTATTAAATCAATGTTATTTCAAAATATTGATATTTCAAAGTTAACTGTCTATTCTCACTGAATTATTTTTTCCATATAAACTTTAGAATTAGCTTGCATAGTTTTCAAATTTTAAAAATTGCCATATTTACATTGTTAACTTATCTTACCCAGGAATATAATAAATCTTGGCATTTATACAAATTTTTTTGATATCCTTTAGTACCATTAAATTCCTTTTTGTTATATAAACGTACTACTTTTCTTAGTAAGGTATTCTTTAGTTTCTTATATATAAGGTATTTTTTTAAATTTGACTTTCATTTCCATTGTATTTCATAACAGGATGCTGCTTACATATAGATATAATAAACATATATAAATCCAGCATACTTACTGAGTCCTCTCTCTCTATCTAGTAACTGAACAAATTATTCTCAAAATTTTTAGGGCAAAATAATAATTATCTGTTTTAATGAAAATATTGCATTCTCTTTTTAAATGTTTATGCCTTATATTTCTTTCTCTTGTTAGTTATCTTGGCTAGATCTGCCAGACTAATTAATGATGGTAGCAATAATAAGCATTTTGCTTCTTTCTGGTTTTAATATGAATGTTTCTATTGCTGAAACATTCAATCTGAGATTAGTTTTTGGACTAATGCATGTACACAATAATATACATTCATGTTAATGATTTATATTATGCATTCAAATAGTTGTGTATATTTATTCACCATAGTAAGGAGGAATTTCTCTGTTTCTATTTTAATAGGAATCTTTTTTTGTATAATTTTATTCATTTATTTATTTTTGGCTGAGTTGGATCTTCAGTGCTCGGCAGGCTTTTCTCGAGTTGTGGGGAGTAGGGACTTTTCTTCTCTGCAATGTGCAGGCTGGAAGTACTAGAAGGTTGTACATTATGTTCTGCATTGTGTTCTGGAACATGCAGTCTTATTAGAATAGTGGTATTGATGGAGCTATAAGAGGAAGAATCCTTGGGAATGGATAGTTGATATAATACATACATATACAAACACATGCACAGGTATAAAATTTTAAAGGCATAATTTGGTCTTCACTTATTAATATTTCTTCCTAAAATGCTTATTTTTTTTTGATACTATGCTATGTCAACATTAGAAACACTCAGACTTTAGTAGGAAGAGCACATTGTACTTTAGAAAATTATAATTCAGTGAAGGAAGTTCTTAGCTTATGAAATCTAAAATTAATAAACCTGCCACATCTTCTAATTTTGTGTGAGAAGTACTTCATTTAATCTCCAACCTCACATTTTCTTCATACTAAATGGAGATGAAAATATTGAGCTAGATTATTAGCAAGTGATGAGCAAATTTAGAAATAATTGCATAGTTCCTTAAACATGTAACTTACATAAATGCTATGACAAGCTCAAAACAAAAAATATCCATAAAGAGTATTGAGTTTATACTTTCATTATAAAGCTATGTTCCCTCAAACTTTGAATATTCCATGAACAATTCCATTTATTTTTAATATATAGCAGACACAATGAAAATCACTGATACATTGCATATAAAGTACTTCTTAAAATGAGATTTTTGAAAATTACCTAAATTATATTTCAGCTCATCTTTTCATATTAAAAAATTGATGGTAAGTGCAAAAGATCAATTATTTTTCTCATATAATCAAGTATTAGTTTAATGTAACTTAGTGACAGCTGAACCTACTCTGATCTATTATATATCAAACTTTCCTTTTATATTGTCATCCAAAAGTAAAATAGTAAGCATAAGCTTTTAGTAAATGGGTTTTATAAAGAACACTGGTCATGTCAGCAATTTCAGTTACTCTCTTTTACTTCCTCTACTTCATTCCAAGTTCTTAATGATCTTCAATTATAACTTATGGGTGCATTTACTCGTTGGTTTTCCTTGTTGGGATTCTTTCAGCCACACAGAAAAAACTTCTGTGGTCTGGTTTATATGATGAATTTGAGGATGGAGATTATTGGGTTACTTTTGGGCAGTAAAACTGAAAAAATCTTTTGCATTAGGTATTGATATTTTTCTGTTTCTATATCATCCATTCATTTACCTATGTAGATAAACATTAAGACAATGGTGCCCTAGAGAATTAGGAGTGGACACATGCCAATATGTTTTTACTTAAATTGTGAATGATGGCGTTAAAATATGAAAAATGCAAGCATCAAAGGAAATACTATTTTAATACCTCACAGATTTATTTGATTGCCTTCTATAGAAAAAGAAGTACCATGTACTTGCAGAGTTTTAGCATTCCATGTTAAAAGAGAATTCTACATCATATCACACAAAAGCAAATTTTCCTTAGATAACTGAAAAATTTTAAACTGAAAATAAAACTTTTA